TTTTCATAAGTAGATCCCACTCATGGTGCCCCGTGTGTGTCAGAGGAGAACTGTCCCCCCAGAGTTCTCAGTGGATGATTTTTCATAAGTAGATTCCACTCATGGTGCCCCTGTGTGTGTCAGAGTAGAACTGTGCCCCACAGGGTTCTCAGTGGATGATTTTTCATAAGTAGATTCCACTCATGGTGCCCCTATGTGTGTCAGAGTAGAACTGTGCCCACAGAGTTCTCAGTGGATGATTTTTTGTGGGGCCCGTGGAGCGGTTCTGACTCCTGGAGAACCCCTGGGGCAGAGTCAAAACCTCCACAGGTTTTCCAACACTCTGACCTTTCGGAAGCACATCTGCACGCTGCCTCCCGAGCAGTGATGGGTGTATTCACTCCACCAGCTTTTCAGCTAGCAGCCAACCCTTTTCACATTCAGGCTAAAATGGGTAAAGTGTTGGTAACTACACGTTGGCATGTGCCTACAGTCCAGTTCGTGTATATTCATTGGTTTATTTTTGTCACAGAGGTACAGGCAGCAATTGGCTAAAATGCTTGAGAGAGCCTTGTAGAGGCAGAGCTGGAAGAGCCGTGTAATGCACATCTGTGTGACACTAGGTCTGCTCCACCACAGTGTAAATGACAGCACATTACAGGGCGGGAACACAGGTGCTTGAGCTAACCCTTACCTGTCTGGTGTGAGTGAGTTGTGTCACCACCGTCTGCCTCGTCTGTGACCTGGAGACCCTAACAGTTCCTGCCTCCTGGGATTCGTGTGAGGCTTAAAAGATTCAGCATGTCTGTTGCTGGTAGATCTACCCCTCGGCGGTAACGAGGATGCCAGTGTTGACCATCTGCCTGTCGGTGATAACAATGGCTAAAGCACATTCATGCTTGTTAAATAGAGGTCAGCGGAGAGGAGGACCTGACATGGTGGGGGAGTGGTAGGGCGCAAGACCGGGCAGGGTTTTGTTTTGTTCTGTTGCACGTAGGGTCGCTGTGGGTCAGAACCAACTCAATGGCAGCTAACAATAAACAGGAGTCCCTGGTGGCTCAATGGTTTAAGTGCTTGGTTGCTAACGAAAAGGTTGATGGTTTGAACCCACCAGCTGTTCATCAGGAGAAAGGTCTAGCAGTCTGTTCCAAAGAGATGATTGATTAGTCCCGTGCTTCTTTTTTGAGGGGTTGAGACATTTGTGTTCACACCCTTTAAAGTGAACGCAATTCTGGTGTATTTTATCCTCATGTAAAGTGATCCACTTTCAGTGGATAGAACTTCTCTTCTGCCTTCATATTTAACTGGCCACAGGGTTCCTTCAGCAAAGAGCAGCTAAGAGCCTTGAACACTCACAGACAGATGTTGAGTGATAAGAAGCAGGCACAGATCCAGCTGTTACTCAGGAAGGCCGTGGAATCGGCTGAGCCAGGGGAGAAAAGCTTATCGAGGACCGTCACAACCGTGTGGAAGCTGCGTGTTGTCAGCTATGAGGAGAAAGCGACAGACTCAGGTCAGTGTGTGGGGTTTGTGTTGATCAATTTTGTGACATCAAACAAATGGGCTTCCTTATGAAGACTATGGTTACAAACGCTAGTTGACGCATAGAGTGTCTGAGAGGGGCATCACAGACCACCCACACCCACCAGATGGTAAGACGACCCTTCATCTGTCTTCTGTTATTCTCCCCTGTGTTTCTCTGAGCAGTCATCCTGAGTATCTGGCGTCCATCCTCAGACCTACTCTCCCTACTAACTGAGGGCACGAGATACCGGATCTACAATCTCACCACCTCAAAATCAAAAAGCACATCTGGACGAGCAACTGTACACCTGACAGCGACCAAGAAAACCCAGTATCAGCCACTGCCGGTATACGTGTGCCAGCTCTGTGCCCGCTCCCAGAGGTGCCTGTTTGTGGAGAGACTCCACCATGACTTTGGTGCCGTTTGTTTTCATTTCCCCTGCAGGCTTCAGACGAAATTCTACTCCAGGTTTTCCAGCCAAGGGAATCCCTTCGCTTCAGTAGCTTGTGGGATCCAGACTTCCACCCTCCTGGCTCTGAGGTGGACCTGACAGGATTGGTCATTTCTGTTGTGGAAAAAGCAGGTGATGCTCAGTGTGTTCCTCTGACTGCCAGGGTTTCCTCTGCCTTGTGATTAGTGCCAGGTCCAGGGGGCCACAGACGATTCAGCGCTTGGTTCTGAACTGAAGGGTTAGCAGTTCATGTCCACCTAGCGGTACCTTAGAAGACAGGCCTGAGAGACTCCTTCCCAACGAGCAGCCCAAAGACCGTGACGCGCAGCGCTCTTCTGGTGCGTGTGGGTCTGCGTGCGGGTCGCCTGGTCCTAAGAGGTGTGGTTTCTTACAGGTTCAGCTCTTTTTGTCTTTTGCCATGTTTTTTTCTCGTTTGAAAAACACGTTCTGTTAGGACAGTCTTGTTTGAATGCTATGTGATGTGCTTTGTTCAGATAGTTCGGTTTTAATGCTGTGTGGGGTGTGGGAACATGTTGCACTATTGCCATGGCATTTTATTTCATCTTGGGCAATTCTTTCCACACATTATATCGTCTCTGCGTAGGGTAGACGTACAGAGAGCATACACAGGGTAAGCCGTGGCTGTCACGTCAATTCCGACTCAGTGAACCCTACAGGCAGAGTAGAACTGCCTCATAGGGTTTCCAAGGCTGTCAGCTTGACGGGAGCAGACTGCCTCAGCTTCCTTCTGCAGAGCAGCTGGTGAAGCGCTCAGCTGCTAACCGGTCCCACCCAACCAGCCACTCCAGGGGAGCACAAGGAGCCAGGGTGCTGCTGGAAAGACTTGCAGCCTTGGGAACCTGAGTCAGGTTCCACAGCAATGGGTTTAAGTACTACCTCAGGAAAATGTTTAAATCTTCCGTTGCTCCCTTCCACCCTAGAACACGGTGGGACTTTAAAACAGCCCTCAACTACCTGCCTCAAACCACTACCCTGCACGCCAATGCTTCTGCCTTTAAAGACACTCCTCTCTTTACTGCTGAGTACAGTCCCGTCCGCCAGTCTTCCCGCGTGCTTTCCGTCTGGGTAGGCCAGCCCTCCTCCGGTCGGGGGCACTCTGTATGTGTGGCTGTCTCAGCATTCATTATGTGGTTTTGGAGTCCTGGGCTCTGTTCTCTCCTCGCTTCTGATGTGAGGGCAGAGGGCACAGCGTCTCCTCTTGTCCTCCTGCTCCTGCTCCCTTGGTGATGTTGCTGCACACTGTCGAGTCACTTGTGACTCAGCGAGCTGTGCACAGCAGAATGGCACACTACGCGCTGTCCTCACAGGTATTGTGTTTGGCCCACTGTTATAGTAGCCACAAGGCTGTAACTCAAAGGCATTCAATTCTTCTACCATCTTCCTTATTCACTGTCCAACCTTGACATGCATGTGCAGCGATTGAAAATACCGTGGCTTGGGTCAGGCGCACCTTAGTCCTGACTGACATATTTGCCTTTCAGCACTTTAAAGAGGTCTCGTGCAGCAGATTTACCTTCTTGTTTCCTGACTGCTGCTTCCATGAGTGTTGTTGGTGGAGCCAACCACTTCAGTCTCTTCTCCATTTATCATGATGTTATTTACTAGTCCAGTGGTGAGGATCTTCATTTTCTGTACGTTGATGTGGAATTCATACGGAATTGTGATTTTCATTAGTATTTTAAGTCCTGTTCGCTTCCATATCACAGGTTCTTAGTGAGTCTTCCTGATGCCATGTTTTTATTTATATAATCCAGATTCTCAGATTATTTGCTCAGCATACAGATGGAATAAGTGAGGTGAAAGGACACCACCCTGGTACACACCCTTCCTGATGCCCAGCCATGCAGCGCCCCCGGTTCTGCTCGTTTGATGTCAGCATCCCTGTTTCATGGAGATGGCACTGGAGCTCCCAGAGATGAACTTGCCCGTTAGAGATTTGAACCTGTACTTGGCTCTAAAGTGCTTGTTCTCTTCATGCTAACAGGACAAATGAAACTAAGCCCAATGCTGGAGAGCTGGGCTCTTAGGTCTCAAGTACAAAGGGTGGGGGGCTTTAGCACCCATGGGCACACTAACTCTCCAGGCAGCCGCTCTGGGGGAGGTCTTTGCTTCTTGCTCCCAGGGGATTTCCATGAGACCTGGCATCTCTGCCATCTCTGCTTGCTCCGCTGGGTCTCATCTGCTCAGTTTATATCTCAAAACAATTGGCTTAGGACAGCCTGCAGCACAACATTGTGTGTGCTAATGATGAGACACACCCCCAAAACAAAAAACAACGTTAAGTGCAAAGTGGGCTTCAACACGTAGTCCTCTACTGGGCTCAGTCCTGCCCCAGCTAACACAGCCCCCATTCGCCTCCAGTGGCCCTAAAACCATTTCACGGTTTGTTTGAACTCATTAGAAACCCTCAGAGAAGTTGCAGGAATAGTGCAGTGTTCCCGGACACCCCCTCAGGGTGGCCACAGGACAGTGATGAGAATTGGAGAAACGGGCCTCAAATGGCGCCCTACAGAAGCTGTTCTGTTTGCAACTCAACTCATTTGTCCATGGTTTCCCTTTTCAGTTCCAGGACCCCACGGGGCACTTAGTCTTGTTTCTCTCTGGTCTCTACCCGTTTCAACCGGCTGCTCTGTTTCTGTTTCTCATGATCTTAACACGCCTCAGGGATTTCAGTACTCTTGAAGCAGCTCCTTCCGCTAGGGTTTGGCTTGTGTGAGGTTTCCTCAGAATGGGAATTAGGTTGTGCAGGTTTTTGCAAGATCACAACCAAGCAGGTGATGGGACTTTCTCAGTACAGCGAGGCTAAGGGTCATGAGGTTGGTATCGTTGATTAGTGGTGACAGTCCCTGTACAAAGGGTGCCCTGGGGTGGTGCTGTGGGTTAATGCGCTACACTAAGGTGCACCTGACCCAAGCCATGGTATTTTCAATAACCTCATATGCATGTGAAAGCTGAACAGTGAATAATGAAGACCAGTAGTAATGGGCATTACAGGTTTACCATAAAAGGTCCCTTGCATTCTAAAATGGCCTACCATGTACCTATGTAACAAAGACACATTTTCTCCCTGCACCCCACTAGGTGTGGCCCCTCTGGCCTACTTGTCAGACGAATGCCATAATTTGTTAGCAATAAAGTTCTGGGTGGATATTAACGAAGACATCATTAAACCTCCAACGATAATTGCTGCAAGCAACCTACAGTGGCGGCCAGAATCCAAGTCAGGGATTCCGACGTTATTTGCTGGCGAGTTTTCCACGTTTTCTGCCAATGCGAAGGACGCCCGCTTCCAGGAGGCAGCCTGCAGACTGAGAGCCGCCACTGAGGTGAAGTGTGCTGTTCAACATTTCTGCACGGCTGGGCATTTTCCCACTTTAATAGTAAGGAAGTGGTCCTTATGCAATTAATTAATCAAAGGGACCCGGTGTAGGAGAAGCTGAGAGGATGTGGAAACCTATCAGACACCAGCTGGTGGCAAGACTGCAGTGTCTGGGTGTGTAGCAGTGTCGTTACACTGTATGGAAGTCTTGGTATAATGTCAGCACCAAAATATTACCTGTCTTTGATGCGAGGGTCCCAAACAGGAAAGCACTATGTCTCCCTTAATCTGTGTATTACCTTTTTTTTTTTTTTCAGTTTAAGGTTTTTATTGTGGATTGAGTGAAAGTTTACAGGGCACATCATCAGTTTCACATTCAACCATTCATATAACTTGTTTCATTACATTGATTATAATCCCCCCCATATACCATCAGTTAAAAGTATTTCTCTTTATCCACTTTAGCTTTTTTTTAAAAAGCACACAAACAAAAAACCCACCCAGGCATATATAATAAATTACATCTCCAAAGGGAACATTCTGCAAGTCTGCTCCTGGCCACCAGTTCTTAGTCCTTCTCTTCTTAGTTGATGAATCTAGAGTCCTCCATGCCCCCATCTCTGCCTCCATCTCTGGTGCTGCTGCTTCTCTGGATAAGGTCCCGCATTCTGCTTGTGCATTCCTCTCTTGATGGTTCTAGGGTCCTCTGTTTCTGGACTGTAAGATTAACCACTCCCCTTTTTTTGTTACAAAACTTCTACCTTTACAATTGTGACAGTCGTGATTACTCATAACAGTTATTCACTATTGAATCTTATGAATCTTACCCCATCTCCTTTCACCAGACCCATCTAGACAAGATGATAACTATTCAGTGGGGACTCTTTCTTTGCCCCCACACTCTTAAACTAAGCTCCCTCTTGAAACCTTGTAAGCCATCTGTGTATTACCTTTTAATTCCATTTTTCCACAAACTTTTTGAAGACCCCTTGTACCTCAAACTGTAATGTCATTAAATGCCAAACCCATGTGTTATTAAGTTCCATGGAGTCTGTTCCGATGCATAGTGACCCTATATAGGGTTGTTAAGACTGTAAATCTTTGTGGGAGCAGAAAGTCTCACCTTTCTCCTGTGGAGCAAATAGTAGGCTTGAACCCCTGACCATGTGGTTCATAGTCCAGTGCTTATCCTACAGAGCCACAGTGCTCCCTGGATCATTTATTTTTGACTCTGTGCCAGACATTGTCTCATTTCATTTTGTTAACAACCCTGTGAGGTGGACTGTTGGCCCTTGTATCTGTGGGGAACAGAGGAGCCGCCCAGTCACACAGCCAAGTGTGGGTGGAAGCAGGGTTCACGGCGAGGCCATTTGAACACAGAGCCAGACTCCTCGCTCCTGTGCCCCTGCCTTCTGGTGAGATGACTGACTGCTTTTATAGCGCATCAGTGAAGAAGCCCAGAACAAAAGGCCCGTAGTCCTGTAATTTCAGTCAAGATGTAGGTATGAAGTGACGCTCACAATGATCAGGGCAGCTGGCCCTGTGCAGGGAGTCTGTGTTAGGATTGTACCTGAAGACTCCATCCCCCAGGTGGGTCTGCTTTCCAGAGTAGTGGTAGGAGCAGGGGTGCATTTACTGTGGTCTCATGACCAAGGTGCCTTCTATTAACACCCCAGTTTTCTCCAAGATACCAGTCGGGTAATTGACTTACAATGCAGTCAGCTAAGAATGGCCATTTGTGCCGCATGTTCAGTGTGACAGGGCGCTCTCATGCCTCAGGCTCAAACCCAGCCAGCGGCTCCATGGGAGGAAGGAGCAGGCAGTCAGCTCCCATGAAGGCCGGAGCCAGGGAAACCCTGTGGGGCTGCTGTGAGCCCACAGTGACTGGACTGTCCATGGGAGGAAAGAGCGGGCAGTCTGCTCCCATGAAGGTCGGAGCCAGGGAAACCCTGTGGGGCTTCTGTGAGCCCACAGTGACTGGACTGTCCATGGGAGGAAGGAGCAGGCAGTCTGCTCCCATGAAGGCCGGAGCCAGGGAAACCCTGTGGGGCTGCTGTGAGCCCACAGTGACTGGACTGTCCACGGGAGGAAGGAGCAGGCAGTCAGCTCCCATAGAGATCGGAGGCTGAGAAACCCTGTGGGGTTGCTGTGAGCCCACAGTGACTGGACTGTCCATGGGAGGAAAGAGCGGGCAGTCAGCTCCCATAGAGATCAGAGCCGGGAAACCCTGTGGGGCTGCTGTGAGCCCACAGTGACTGGACTCTGCAAGGATGGCTCTAGACGTGGTGACTTTCCACTCCGAGATACTGAGTAAAGTTAGAACTTGAGCTTCAAACAAACTCTGATACCTGCTGTTTAGACTACCTGGTGAGGAAGGGCTCACCTCTCTACACACACACACACACACACACACCCCTAAGATTGTCATGTTTTTAGGGGAGCAGACTGACACACCCTCTCCTATAGAGCGGTGGGTGGGTTTGAACCACTGGGCCATGGGACTCTTAGCAGGACCTTTGCTATCCTCTCAGGCACAGCTGTTGGTTCTGCAAACCCTGGTGGGCAGCGACTGTCCAGCTTTGTATGTCTTGTTGGTTATGGTCTACAGTTTTTTATTCCTAAATTTTTTATTGCTGGTTTTCGTGTAAACGCTTTTTGAGAGCAGGAATATGTGTATTTGCAATTTACATAGCATTTCTCCCACTTTATTTTCTTAGAACATTGACGTATTTTGCCAGGAAGCGGAAAACAAGCTAATGCACTTGCTTAATACAAATGATCCCAAGTGGCCCACCCCAAGGAAAGCCCACTCTGCAGAGCACACTAGCCCAGAAGTCCTTGCTGTCAAAAGTACAGTCTCGGTAAGTCGTGTCAATGGTGATATGGACCGTGTGAATGAAGGTAGCCCTCTGTGCCCATGTGGGGCCTGGTGAACACTGGGAATGTGACTCGGCTTAGAAAGTAGGCTCCCTCCCTGCAACAGACAGCTTGATTCCGGGAGCAGGATGTAACGCCCTCTGACCTCTGACCCCAGCACCTGTGATGGGAGCCGTTGTGTGTGTGTCCGTATTAGGGGCTGCAGGACGTTCACTGAGAATCCATTCTTTAACTGAATAAACGTGTCCCTGTTTACAATCCAAGTGAAATTCTGTCAGATTGCCCAAGAATGAATTCTCAAATAGCTAATGCTACGTTTTGTCTGCGTTAGCTCCTTCAGCCCTCTGAGGTAAGAGTGGCTGCTGTCCCCATTCTCAGATGAGGGGACCAGCGTCACGTGGGGTGATAGCCACGTGCCTAGTGTAACAAAGCAAGAAGGGGAAGTGTGTACGAGAGCCCACGCTGGCTGGTTCTTCTGGTCTAACCAGTTAATAATAATCTTTTTTAGAAGAAATTAAAGCATATGTCCTGCCCCTACCCTTTTGTCTGTTAGTAGGCTTCCTCTGTCTTTTCTCTGATTGTCATTGTTGGGACATTTTTTTTTTTGTCTTGTGCAAAATGCTTTTCTTCTGGACTGGCAGTGTGCACATCTCTTGAAATCATTTGCTGGCCCCTGGGGCGTGAGAATGTCTGTGGTTTGTGTGCGAATGAGTACTTCTGGTGAAAAGGCACCTGATTTGTTTGCTCTGTTCGCACATAATTACAGCCGGCTACGGCTGCCCTGGTTGATGTGCTGCCTCTACCAATCGTAAGGTTAATCTTCAGACTCTTATCACTTTGCAGCCAAAAGGGAAGTCACTTCCCATGCCTGCATCAGCCCAGAAGCCTCTGAAGTCTTGTGGTAAAGGTGTGGACTTCAGTGATGACCAAAAGACCATCAAAAAGAGGAGAGCCCTGGATTTCTTGAGCAGGCTGCCTGCACCCCCACCTGTTAGTCCAGTATGCACGTTTGTTTCTCCGGCTGCCCAGAAAGCCTTTCAGCCGCCACGGAGGTGCAGCCCCAAGTGTGAGGCTCCGCTGCAGAGGAAGGAACTGAATTCCCCTCCGGTGATGCCGCTGAAGGACGCCAGCGAGACTTCTCTTCTGGACAGCGACTCCATCGCTGATGAAGAGCTGGCGCTGATCAACACCCAGGCCCTTCTGTCTGGCCCAGCTGGAGAAAGCAGGTTCACTGCTGCTCATCAGCGAGCCCGCGAGGACCACATCTGGGATCAGAGGAGGGGCAGTAGGGGAGACGGAGCAAGGGGGTCCGCACAGGATCAGAGACGGGAGAGGGGAGGACTCCACAGGTGACCCAAGGGAAGTGACAGTCAGTGAGCTGTTAGCTCCTAACTCCCGTTTATAAAACAGACACTTTCAGACTGCACGTCAGGTTTGCGTGAGAAAACCTCGTGTTTGTGTACCCCAGGGGTGCTCTCTACCTGCTGTCATTGGTGCATTGTACCTTCACCCACGTTGTGAGCACAGTAACCAATTGAGGGAACATCTTGCCATCTGCCTGGCTTGCGCTGGTCATGTCTTTAATTGCCCTTGTCAGAGTGTCCATCCTGGGTTCCTGGGCAGTTGTTCTGTCTCAGAAGTCTACTCTGTGTTCGCTCCGGTTTCAGATGTGCTGTCTTTCAGCTCACTTACCAGGAACCTAGTTGTCTGAATCCATGTATTGGATCTGCTCTAGCCCCAACCTGTTCCAAAGTCAAGATGAAGAGGCCGCTGTGGTGTTTGCTGCTGGCCTTGGGCCCTGGCGCAGCTCCCCGTCTGATTCCAGTGTGCTTTCTGAAATGGGCTTCATTCTGGGGCAGCCCAAACCCTTCATCAGGAGCAGGTGCCATCATGTGACGATGGGTCTGGGCTGCTGCATCAGCTCTCAAATTTGCCCTGGTTTCACCTACTTTTCTTGTTAGCCTCTCACGGGCCCCAAACACACCACCACCAAAGCAGGAGACAGCAGGTCAGTTGTTTTCCTCGTGCTGGATGAAGAGCAGCTCTTCCAGCTGGTCTTATCCTATGTTGTCACTGTATATAGACCATACCATGGTATCCTATCTAATTATACACCTATTTCAAAGCCGAGAATAAATCTTCCTAAAAACCAGTGAGTAACTGGGAGCTGTGAGTCTTGTTCTCTCGACCCGAGCATCCTGACCCTCCCCTTGGTGAGCCGCTCTAGAGGGGGGTTCATCAGAAGAACCCAACCTTTTGAATCTCGGGAGAACTGTTAGCTCCTCCACTCCACCCATTAGGGAAACCCAGCACGCCTACGGCATCAGGTCCACTCTGACTCCAGCAACCCTGCAGGGCAGGCCCCACCTTTCTCCCACAGAGCAGCCGCTGGATTCCAACTGCTGATGTTTCAGGTCGCGGAGCACTCACCCCGCTGCACCACCACGGTTCCAGTTGTATAATCACTGTTAGTGCAAATCATACACAACACAACTCACTGCTGGGAATCCAAAGGGATCTAGCTCGGGTGTTGTGGGGGTTGGGAGAGAAACCAGGCCACTTGTACTTCCTTCTAGTTGGGATAAAGTGGGTGGCATTTCATCCATCACCTGGCTTTGGAATCAAGCATTTCAGGCAGCCACTGCTGTCAAATCAATTCTGACCCACGGGGACCCTGGGTTCCCAGGCCTTTATAGAAGCAGAGGGCCTCATCTTTTTCCGGCAGAGCAGCTGGTAGGTCTGAATTTCAGCTAATGCTCTATCTAGGAAAGGAGGAGGCAAACAGACGACCTGGCTGCTGTACCTACAACCCCAGCCCAGGGGAACCCAATACCCTAAGCAGCATAGACGTGCATCCTGACCACTGGAATACGACCCCCTGGGCCCTGCTTGGCATCAGGAAGAAATCGTTCCTAGCTTTGGTGTCTGACATCCCCTCAGGCCACCTGTACTGAGCTGGTTCTAAAAGGCTGCCAAGGAGACCCAGAGTCACTTGGGCCTGGACCTAGGTGGGGTTCGGGCCCAAGCTGTTCTACTCTGCTCTTCATGAGTCAGGACTGATGTGGGGGAGGGGGATGAGTTTGGCGTGGGCTAGCACTTAGATGTGTGGCTGCTGACAAAAAGCTGGTGATTCCAGCCCACCCTGTGGCTCTGTGGGAGAAGGGCCTGGACATCTGCTCCCATAAAGATGACAGTCTGGAAAGCCTAGGGGGCCAGTCACCCAACAACAGGGTAGGTAAAGGAGAGGTCTCTCAGGGAT